ATAAGAATACACTTGTTTAGTAGTTATTTTAATCTAATACTTTGGATGTACATACGTGTGTGTATGCAAAGGGCTTTAAATGCTAAGCCTAAATCCAGAACTAGTGGGCCAAGCAATTATTATTTTTTTGAAACGGTCCATCATGATGAATAACCAAACCTTAAAAATAGTCAGGAACTGAGCCCAAAAGAAGTGTAGGCCTAACAAGGTAAGGCCAGCAAAAACGGACACAAACCCAATGAAAACAACGGACTCTGAAAATAAAAATACGTTTTCGTCGTATGCGGTGTTCCCAGTTTCCCGCTACTCTACAGTCACCACTGCACCCTCAGGTGCGCATCTCCAACTTCGATCCTCAAATTATAGTTTCGGAAGGAAGCTTATGGGTGGAATTGATGCTATTTTTATTAAAATCGGTTTTTGATTGTAATTTTTCCTATTCTCTATGGATTTGGATCTACTTTAGATCTAGAAGTTCTCAGTAACCATCTAATATGATATATTATTATCTGAATTTTGATTGAAACCCATTAATGTGCTCTGGGATTTTGTGAAAATTTTGTAGATTTTATACGATTTCTATATCGGTATCTTTATATTTTAGATGTTGAATTAATGAGAGTGGGAACTGATTACTATATCTCAGACAGAAAGATGGGATCATGGTTCTGGATCTAGGTTGGGAATCTATCTTTGTTAACATAATAATCTTTTTTGGCTTTTTGTTCCATCTTAGATTGTGGAAAAGGTTTTAGGGTCACATAGGTTTTTTGTGAGTAATGTTTAATCTCTTGTTAACAGGGTGATAGTGACACTGAGGAGGAGGAGAGTGATTATGAAGAAGAGGTTGAAAACCAATTGTTAGCAGGATGATAATTAATGAAGAATTGCATGCAAGTTGGGACTAGCCTATTAAGGAAACTGAATCTGTTGCAATAAAGTAGGAAACTGAATCTGCTGCAATAAAGTAATTACCCAGGATTGTATATTTCTAATTAATGTGTATCTTAGATCTTATTCTAGTCTTATTAGAATTCCTGGATACAGTAGGACAATCTTGTATATAAACACATCTTGTATGGCTGAATAATATATACAGAAATAGAGTTTCATACCAGTCTGCTGCAATAGTGGTATCAGAGCCCACCTCCAACGAGACCTCTGACCTCTTTACTTCCCAACCATGGACTCTGACAGCAGTTCCTCTGAAACGAACGCATTCAACCCAAACTCAGCAGCCACCGTGATCAACAATTAACGCGGCTCCTTCTCATTTAACGCCGCGGCTTTTCCCTTAAAATTGACTCCAACTAATTATTTATCTTGGAAATCACAATTCACTTGTCTTCTTGTAGGATTTGAGCTCCTCGGTTATTTGGATGGTTCTCATCCATCCCCTGTTGCCACAGAACCAAGCTACAGTCTGTGGGCACGCCAAGATCAGTTAATTCGCCATGCACTGATTACTTTAGTATCCGAGAGCATTACACCATACATAGCCGCTGTAGCTACGGCACAACAGGCATGGGAAACATTAGCGAGACTCTATGCAAATCGATCTCGCACCCGTGTCATCACCCTTAAGGAGCACCTACAGAACATGTGTTGTGATGGTCGCTCGGTGTCTGAATATCTCCGAGCGCTTAAGTCTATGGCAGATGAATTAGGGACAATAGATCGGCCTCTCACTGATGATGATCTTACAGTCTACATATTGAATGGACTGGGACCAGAATTCCGAGAGATAGCAGCCTCTCTTCGTACTCGTGATTCATCCCTCTCCTTTGATGATCTGCACGATCGACTGGTGGCTCATGAGGAAAGCCTTAGGTGAGAGGAACTCAAGGCTGATTCTTCCCCAATAACCGCACAATATGCTGCAATCCCTAAGTCTATGTCACCATCACAGGTTGATCTTTTTCCACCCGCCTCAAACAATTGTTACTCACCTTCAACTTCTTCACAGAATCGTAGAGGTGGAAACTCATATCAGCAGAGGCCCAACAACAGAAGGTGCGGTTCATTCTCTAGGCCCAATAACATTAGTCGACCCACTTGCCAGTTATGTAACCAAGTTGGTCACTTTGCTCGGAGTTGTCCCTATCATCGGATCCAGAATCTGAACCCCCAGGCCAACTTTGCTTCTTCTGCTGCAACAACTGCTGATGATTGGCTCTTAGACTCAGGAGCAACTAATCATGTAACCACTGATTTGGCAAACCTTGCACTCCACTCTAAGTATCATGGTCCTGATGAACTCCAAATTGGTGATGGAACAGGTTTGAATATTACACATGTGGGTCATACCACACTCTCTACTCCCTCTTACTCCCTTCCTTTAAAAGACATATTATTTCCCCAAGCATCTTGAAACTTAATCTCTGTTTCTCAATTATGTAAAAGTGCTGATGTTTTTGTCGAATTTCACCCCACTTTCTTTTTGGTGAAGGATCGTCGCACGAGGGAGACACTGTTGCGAGGCAAAAACACTCATGGGGTCTATCACATCCCTGGTCAAGTTAAAGCACAACCTGCGGCCCTAGTTGGAGAACGTGTTAGTTTGGCAAATTGGAATTGGCGTTTAGGTCATCCTTCTACAAAGATCATTAAAACTATTGTTAAAAATTTCCATTTACCTATTTTTACTAATAAAATGAGTTCCCTTTTCTGTGATTCGTGTGCATGTTCCAAAAGTCACAAACTTCCATTTTCAAAGTCATCTATTACAAGCACGCATCCTTTAGAGCATGTCTACTCTGATGTTTGGGGTCTAGCATGGATTCCAATATTTTGTTTTATTTATTGATTTTTTTAGTCGCTACATATGGATTTTTCCACTCAAACAAAAATCTAATGTTTCTCTAATTTTTCCCAAATTTAAGACTCTTGTGAAAAATCAATTTGGCCACAAAATTAAGAATTTTCATTTTGATGGTGGGGGTGAATTTATTGCCTTGCGTGGTTTTCTCTCTCAACAAGGCATCTCTCATTTTATTTCTCTGCCTTACACTCCTGAATTAAATGGTATCAATGAACGTCGTAACCGTCATATTGTAGAAACCAGTTTTGCCCTATTGCACCATGCGTCCCTACCTTCCGCTTATTGGTCTCATGCTTTTCAAACTGCGATGTATCTAATTAATAGATTGCCCACTGCAGTGCTCTCTTCTTTGTCTCCCTTGGAGAAGCTTTTAAAATTAAACCCAATTATTATAAGTTGCGTACCTTTGGGTGTTTGTGCTATCCTTGGCTTCATCCTTACAACACAAACAAATTACAATTTTGATCTCGTCCTTGTGTTTTTCTTGGCTATTCAAATGAGACTTTGGGTTACAAATGTTTGGATTTACAATCTGGGAAAATATATACCTCCCGTCATGTTGTTTTTTAAGAGTCTACTTTCCCATTTAAAAATTCCACTTTCTTGTGTGATCCCTCTAATTCCTCATCGGCTTTCCGTGACATGCCAATGATGCCAAACTCCACGAGTGCAGGTAAGAGTGTTGAGCCTCCTCCATTGTTCCCTTGTGTACTGATTCACTCTCACCGCCCCTCTAAGTTCCATAATGTCCAACAAAGCCATGAGCAACCTCCAACTTCTATTTACCCATTATCTACCCCTGTACCCACTAGCACACCCTCTCCACTTCCTTCCCTTACTTCACCATCCTCTCCCATTAAGACCAATTCCGTTCACCAATCCCCTGCCCCATCCGATTCCCACTCCTCCCCTCTTAGGTCCCCACCACCGCAACCTCTTCGGACTCACCCAATGGTCACTCGTTCCCAAAACAATATTTTCAAACCTAAGACACTCTTCCATGCAACCAAATCTCCATTGTCCCTCCTTGTTGAACCCACTTGTGTCACACAAGCTCTTAAGGATCCCAATTGGAGACAAGCTATGTCTGAGGAGTTTAGTGCATTGGTTCGCCAAGGAATGTGGGAACTGGTTCCTTCACACCCATCTCAACATGTTCTTGGTTGCAAATGGGTCTTTCGCTTGAAAAGAGGCAAAGATGGGTCCATTGAGCGCTCTAAGGCGCGTCTTGTTGCGAAGGGCTTTCATCAACGACCAGGTTCTAATTACTTTAATACTTTCAGTCTTGTTATTAAGCCTACCACAATTCGTACTGTTTTATCTCTTGCAGTGAGTAGGGGGTGGTCTATTAAGCAATTAGATGTTAATAATGCTTTCCTTCATGGACACATTGATGAGGTATTATACATGCAGCAACCGACAGGCTTTGTGGATCACAATTTTCCTTCACATGTTTGTAGGCTACGAAAATCTTTGTATGGCCTTAAGCAGGCCCCTAGGGCCTGGTTTCGAGCTCTTAAGGACTTCTTTTTGGCTCAAGGCTTCTTTCACTCTAAGTCTGACAATTCCTTATTTATCTATCATAAAGGCTCCACTTGGATCTATTTTTTGGTCTATGTCGACGATATCATTGTTACTGGGAATGATTCTGCTGCAGTTCAATCCATTGTGCAAGTCATGAGTGCCACTTTCTCCCTCAAAGATCTTGGTCCCTTGAGTTTTTATCTCGGCATAGAGGCAATCTCTACTAAGGATGGGCTTTTTCTCTCTCAACAGAGGTATATTCTTGATCTTCTTTAAAAAATTGGTATGGCTGATGCTAAACCTGTCTACAGTCCTTTGGCTTCTACCTCTGTTCTGCAACTATCCACTAGCACTCCTCTCTCTGATGGCACCAATTATAGGAAAATTGTTGGCTCTCTTCAATACCTATCTCTTACGCGACCTGATCTATCCTTTGCTGTTAGTCGCTTGTCTCAATTTATGCATCGTCCTACTGATTCTCATTGGCAAGCTATGAAACGCGTTCTCCGTTATCTTCGCGGTTCTGTCTCTCACGGCTTACTTTTGCGACCCCAGCCAACATTGTCACTCTATGCATTTTCTGATGCTGATTGGGCTGGAGATCGGGATACTTATACCTCAACCACTGGCTATCTTGTATTTCTTGGTAGCAATCCTGTGTCCTGGCGCGCTGCTAAGCAACGAGCAGTTGCTCGGAGCTCTACTGAGGCTGAGTATCGAGCTTTAGCTACTGCTGCCTCTGAAGTTGTTTGGATTCAGCATTTGCTTTCTGAATTGGGTGTCTCATCATCTGTTCCTCCTGCCATTTTTTGTGACAACATTGGTGCCACCTATCTTAGCAGTAATCCTGTTTTTCATTCTCGGATGAAGCACATTGCCATTAATCTTCATTTCGTGCGTGAACTAGTTGATCGGAAGGTTCTACATGTTTCACACATTTCTTCTCATGATCAATTGGCTGATGTTCTTACCAAGGCCCTTCCCTCTCTACGGTTTCATTCTTTGAGGTCCAAGATCGGTGTTGCCGATGGCACCTCCGTCTTGCGGGGGCATATTGAGGCTACTGAATCTGTTGCAGTAAAGTAGGAAACTGAATCTGCTGTAGTAAAGTAATTACCTAGGATTGTATATTTCTAATTAATGTGTATCTTAGATCTTATTCTAGTCTTATTAGAATTCCTGTATACAGTAGGACAATCTTGTATATAAACACATCTTGTATGGCTGAATAATACATACAGAAATAGAGTTTCATACCAGTCTGCTGCAATATAGCCAACTAGGTGTATTGTCTTCCACAATGTTGAGCACACAAGGCTGTATGGTGTTGATATTCCAATTGACTGAGAAGCTTTTAGTTCTTGTTGAAAGCAATGAGAGGGCAGTAGAAGCAAGTATTGGTGGTGAATTGGATCTGCCCATCATGTAGAGAGAAAACTAGGATTATGCAGATGGGATAACTTCTACTAGTGGTAGGTGGCAAGACATGTCTTTCACTCACTGAAGGCAAGGTAGTGGCAGTCGTACAAGATATGGTGCTGGTGGTGGAAAAACATTGGCTTTTGGTCAAGCTACTGGAGGAAGCTATTGGTTCGATCTGTTGTGAGTAGCAGGTGGATATCCTGGGAGGATTGCTCCATCGGTCAAAGGTTCCCAGACAGATGCTTCAATCTGCATGGTCAGTCTTCACCATGGGGTGCATGCTTAAATGATCATAGTAGCAAACCACTAGTGGAGGTGATGTCTCACCCCCAAATTAATACCCTCGGTCAAGTGGTTGTTGTAGTGTAACTTTAGATATCGAATCCACAAAAAAACTATATTAAATCAACAAAAAAAAGTTGTCACAATGAGAAATTAAATTAAAATATGAATTCTAAAATTAAGAATAAAAATATTTAAATAAAAGATGATAATCATAAAAGATTGAAAACAATATTATGATGAACAAGACTTCATGATTAATTGATTTGTTTAATTATTATAAATTTTGATTCCTATTTATTACTCATTTGCATGTTTCACATCCCAAACAAACAATCGGAAGATTTAACTGTGAAGATCAATAATAATAACTAATGTATTTATTTTGAGATAAATTAATTTCATTGAAAAACAAACTGATTTATCATTACGAGCTATTCGAGAGCAACAATTTATCTAATCGACAATACTGCAGTAAAAGATCAACCCGCAAAACAAATCTATTATCAATCAATTATATTCTAATAAATCACACATAAAAGAGCATAACTAATCCTATATGAAATTTTATAAATATAATTTTCAAGGTTTTCAAATCTGAAAAATAATTAATAATCTCTCAAAAATAAAATTAAACAATAAAATCTATGAAGGAATCAAAATAAAATAACAAATCAAACTCCTCAATCAAGATCCTCCCTAGTGTTGTTAAAAGTTTAGTTGCCATTTGACATAATTCTCTAGCCTTGAAGAAGAAAATAGAAACCTAGGAACTGTTTTTGTAAATGCTAAACCTAGTTTTCAAGGCTCTTATTTATATTAGGAATAAAATATGAGTGTTTGGTAACTAGAATAGCAATCCTAGAGAATTAATTTTATTTTTTTTTCTTCTCGCACAACCTTGTCGGTGAACGGTCGAAACCTGAATGAGGGTGCGAAACCCTGCTTCATTCTGTTTTTGTGCAACATTGATCAGGGATCGGAACTTGCTTCAAGGTGCGGAACCCCTGATGCTACTGGAATTCCTTTGCGCTGGTCACGGCAACTTCATGGAGGGCACGGCAACGTCACAGACTTGCGAACTTTGCTCTTAATCAAATATGGAGAAATTGCACTTTAGCCTTCAAAGTTCCAGATTTTTCTTTGGATCCTCATCCTTCCAGCTCTTTGCATTTAAGTCCTTTTCTTCTAATTCTTCTCCATTTAACATCAAAACCTTTAGTCATCATAAAATTCACACAACATAAATAAAATGAACACTTATAAAATTATTTGTAGAAAAATAAAACTCTTAAACCCATAATTCCACAAATGTTAATGATTAAGCACACTTTAAATATACATTTTCATGCTTTCATCACAACCCCCAACCAGCTTATTGCTAGTCTCTAGCAATTCAAGCATGAATTAAGAAAGAAAGCATGCTAATCAGCTCAAATGGATATATAGCAAGACTACTTAGGCATTTAGAAAAATATCACAGTCGCTATCAAGATTACTTCAATTGTAATGTGTGTGAACTAAGCATAACCTTCATACCACAAACCACAACATATATAGCCTTGAGAATTAATCAAAGTAAAAGCCTCAACTCCATATCCTCACAGGTGAATAACTGTTTAAGGCAAAGGATTTCTCTCATGGAGTTGGAAAGCAACAAATCACTCAAAGGAAAAGGCAAAATTTAACAGACAATCAAATAAACAAACATTGATTAGAAGATAGGCTAGTTAGCTATTCAAAATTCCACTACTCGTACTCCAAACTAATTTTAGGATTTCAATCAATCAAATATGAGAGCAATACAAGTAGAGCCTAGTGAGAAAAATTGTTCCCTCAAAAGCAAGTTTGTCTTCTAAATTGATGGAAGGCTTTATTTGATAGAATTTTTTCTTCTTTTTTTTTTTCTGTTTTCTTTTTCTTTTTCTTTTTCATTCTACTGCCTTTTTTTTTGAATTTTCCAAAACAAAGGAGGGAAAACATAGAATTTCTCACATAACTAATATCACATGAACTATTCTAAAGGCTTCACATTTAATAACAATTGCTCTCTTTCTCTCTCTCTTTTTTTTTTTTAAGCTAATCATTCAACCATTCCTCCAAATGAGTAGTGACATTCTAAATAGCAACTAACCAATTATACTAAGCAATGAAAGTTCATAAGTTTTTTTCTCAACTCTCCACTCACTCACAAAAGATGTGTGAGTATAACAAAAAAATGCGCTTAAACCTGATAATTCTCTTGGCTATACATATTGAACATCCATCTAACCACAAAACTTAGTATTGTGCGCAAAAAGTTTTTAGAAGTTACTCTTTAATAATCAAGATAGAGAAAGTGACTTAAACCAAGTAATTTTGAAATCATGCCTAGGTAGAAAAGCAAAAATAATCATGCTTTGCAAACCCTTTCACACAAGAATTACCAAAGTCTAAGGAATAAGCAATTTTTTTTTTGTCCTTTTTTTTTCTCTTTTTTTGTTTTGTTTTGTTTTGTTTTGTTTTTGTTTTTGTGTTTTTTTTTTTTTTTGAAGAGAATGTATATAAAAAGTGTGCCAAAAATGTGCATGCAATGCTACCACCCCCAACCTAAACGAGACAGTGTTCCTCACTGGCATAAAAGAAACAAAGGCAACCCTAAAATGTAATAACTAGGGAAGGAAACCTAAAGAAAAACTAATAAAAGAAAAACTAATAGAAGAAAATAAGAAAAACAAATGATAGTCTGGAAAGATAAAACCTGATTATGTCTCATAGATTGGAGTCACGAGAGTGATCTCCTCAGGTTGGTCTACTCGCTCCACATATTGCTTCAATCGTTGTCCATTAACTCGAAAATTTCTCCCATCGATTGGATCCTCAATCTCAACCGCACCATTAGGGAAAACCTGTTTCACCACAAATGGCCCTGTCCATCTAAACCTTAACTTTCCTGGATGAAGGTGCAACCGAGAATCATAAAGATGCACTTTTTGATTTGGCTCATAGTTCTTCCTCAGGATCTACTTGTCATGAGCTGCTTTCAATTTAGCCTTGTCGATCCTAGAGTTATCATATGCATCATTCCTCAATTCTTCTATCTCTGATATTTGTAACTTTCTTTGGGTACCTGCAGCATTCAAATCAAAATTAAGTGCTTTAGTAGCCCAATAAGCTTTATGTTCAAGTTCCACAGGCAAATGACATGCTTTCCCATATACAAGCCGATACAGAGACATCCCAAGAATAGTCTTATAGGCAGTGCGATATGCCCATAGTGCATCTGAAAGGCGTAAAGACCAAACTTTGCTGTTTGGGTTTACTGTTTTCTCTAAAATTTGTTTTACCTCCCTATTGGCTAATTCAGCTTGTCCATTAGTCTATGGATGGTAAGCGGTTGACACCTTGTGAATAACACCATATCTGCGCATCAAGGCTTCAAAAGAACGATTACAAAAATGTGTCCCTTGATCACTAATCATCACACGTGGTGTACCATACCTAGATAACACATTTTCTTTGAAGAACTTAACAACTACTTTGTTATCATTGGTACGACAAGGTATAGCTTCAACCCATTTAGACACACAATCAACAGCAAGAAGAATACAAAGGTAACCAAAAGAAGATGGAAATGGTCCCATGAAATCAATACCCCAACAATCAAAAATCTCAATGACTAGAATTGGGTTAAGAGGCATCATGTGACGACGAGTTAATGCACCTAACTTTTGGCACCTATCACAAGAACGACAAAAAGAATTAGTATCCTTAAACAAAGAAGGTCAATAGAATCCATATTACAAAATTTTTGTAGCAATTTTCTTCATCGAAAGATGGCCACCACAAGCTTCAGAGTGACAAAAGTTAAAGACACTATTAATCTCATATTCAGGAATACATCGTCTCATGATCTGGTCAGGGCAATACTTAAACAATAAGGATCATCCCAATAAAAATTTCTTACCTCAACCAAGAACTTACGCTTATCTTGTGTACTCCAATCCAATGGAATTTCACTAGAAACCAAGTAATTAACAATGTGAGCGTACCATGGAACTTGGCTAACAGTGAGCAAATGTTCATCAGGGAAGTCATCTCGAATTGGTGAACTTTCAATATTGGAGTCATTAAACTCCAATCAAGACAAATGATCAGCCACCACATTTTCAACACCCTTCTTGTCTTTAATTGTGAGATCAAATTCCTGCAAAAGTAAAATCCACCTAATCAAACGAGCTTTAGCATCCTTCTTAGATAGAAGGTACTTAAGAGCGACATGGTCAGTAAACACAGTAATAGGTGAACCAATGAGATAAGAACGGAATTTATCTAAAGCAAAAACAACAGCTAGTAACTCTTTTTCAGTTGTAGAATAATTCCTCTAAGCACTATTAAGAGTTCTACTAGCATAATAAACAAAAAAGGGCTTCCCTTCCCTTCTTTAGCCTAAAACTGCTCCTACAGCATGGTTACTAGCCTCACACATAATTTCAAATGGAAGACTCCAATCTAGTGATTGTATGATTGGTGTGGTAGTTAATTTGGTGACAAGGGTTCGAAAAGCTTCTTCACATTTAGGAGTCCAATTAAACTCAACATCTTTGGCTAGGAGGTTACACAAAGGTTGAGCTATGGCTGAAAAATTTTGAATGAACCTCCTATAAAAACTAGCATGTCCAAGAAAAGACCGAACATCTTTTACCGTTTTGGGTGTAGGTAATTTAGAGATCAACTCAATTTTGTCCCTATCAACCTCTATTCCTCTTTCAGACACAATATGTCCCAAAACAATACTTGAAGACACCATGAAATGACATTTTTCCCAATTAAGCACAACTCCTTTTTCCTCACACCTAATTAAAACAATTTTCAAATTAAGTAGGCATGAATCAAAAGAATCACCAAAAACAGTCAAGTCATCCATAAAAACTTCCATTATTTCCTCAACCAATTCAGAAAATATGCTAAGCACACAACGTTGAAAAGTGGCTGGACCATTACATAAACCAAATGGCATTCTACGAAAAGCATAAGTACCAAAAGGACATGTAAAAGTAGTCTTTTCCTGATCTTCTAAAGCTATCTCAATCTAATAATAATTTGAATAACCATCAAGAAAGCAATATAAAGGATGGCCAGCAACACGTTCTAAAATTTGGTCAATAAATGGCAACGAAAAATGGTCCTTCCTAGTGGCTACATTTAATTTCCTATAATCAATGCACATACGCCACCTAGTTACTGCCCTAGTTGGTACAAGAACTCCCTCGTCATTTTCAACTACTGTTACCCCTGATTTCTTTGGCACTACTTGAGTAGGACTAACCCATTTACTATCAGATATAGGATATATGATTCCTGCATCTAACAATTTCAAGACCTCTTTTTTCACAACTTCTTTCATTGTTGGGTTCAATTTTCTTTGAGGGTTTCTACGTGGGATAGATCCTTCTTCTAAATGAATCCTATGAGAACAAATCAACGAGCTTATACCTTTAATGTCAGCTATAGTCCAACCTAGTGTAGATTTATGTTCGTTTAATATATGTATCAATTTCTCCTCTTGCTCAGCACTAAGTTTAGAAGATATTATAACAGGAAAGGTATCACCTGGACCCAAGAATGCATGTTTCAACCCTTCAAGAAGTGGGGATAACTCGACTTTTGGTGTCTCTCGTGAAGATGGCTTTGGTTGTTCCCTTTCACATGGCAACTCCTCAAAGCGTGGTTGCCAAAACTTCTTTTGCTTATCCTAATCAGCATTAGAAATAAAAGAAACATTACAAATAACATTATCAGAATAAAGCAAAAACTTAGAGTTTAGATCAAAATTATAAAGGAAGTGTTCTAAAGATTTAGAATTTTCCCTTTCTTGTATTTCCTCAACAAGTGAATATATCATGCAGGAATGATAACATTCATCATCTTCTTGTGGTTGCTTCCCAACATGAAAAATATTCACCTCAAGAGTCATGTTCCCAAATGAAAGTTTCATCAAACCATTCCTACAATTAATGAGAGTATTAGCAGTAGCAAAAAATGGCCTTCCTAAAATAAGTGAAATTTTTGACTCACTATTAATTTCAGACTAAGTGTCTAACACAAGAAAATCAACAGGATAATAAAATTTATCAATCTGAAGCAAAACATCTTCTACTATCCCTCTTGGTTTCCTACAATAACGATCAACCAATTGTAACACCACAGATGTGGGTTTTATCTCTCCAAGATCTAGCTGCAAATAAACTGAATAAGGCATTAAATTCACACTTGCTGCTAAATCCAAAAGAGCTTGACCAAACTCTTGTGACCTAATTTGGCAAGCAATTGTTGGGCACCTTGGATCTTTGTACTTTGGCGGTGTTTTTTACTCAATTACCGCATTTACTTGTTCTATCAAGAATGCAGTTTTCTTGACATGGTGTTTCCTTTTCATGGTGCATAGATCCTTGATCACTTTGGCATAAGTTGGTACCTGTTTAATCACACGCAACAAAGGTAGATTAATCTTAACTTGTTTCAAAATTTCTAAAATCTCACCTTGGTTGTCTGAAATCTTTCCAGTTTTGAGAGCTTGAGGGAAAGGAACTCGAAGTGGGACCTTTTTCTCAGGCTTTTCCAACAGGTCGTCTTCATGGTTACTTGGAGTAGTGTCCTTTAGTTGAGGTGATTTTTGTAATGGCTCTATAACCTTACTAGTACGAGTCATGATTGCGTTGACCCCTATAATGTTCTCGGAATTAAAGATAGATTCCTGCACCAAATGTAAATTTTTAGGATTAGCTTGAGGTTGAGATGGAATCTTACCTCGTTCTTGGATAGTAAGAGCATTGGTCAACTTAGTTAGTTGACTCTTGATATCTTTGTTTTCTTCAACCACCTGTGTAAAAATAGAATCAAACTTTTGGTTAGTCTTATTTTGTGCCTCCATAAATGCCTTAAGAGTTTCCTCTAAAGGATTCCTATTTGGTCGTGCATTGTATTGAGGTGTAGGGGTAAGACTTGCATGGTTGAGCTTCACTATTCCAAGTATTGCTAGACGATGTGGGATGGTTTTGATTAGCCTTCCAACTAAAATTGGGATGGTTCCTCCAACTAGGATTGTATGTCTCTGAATAAGGTGAAAAAACTTCCCTACCCATTCCTAATGCATTACATTATTCTTCATACACCCCTCTCATCTTACGATAGGTTAGGCAATCTTGAGCTAAATGATCCAATCCCCCACAAACAAAACATGGAGCCTGAGCTTCTACCTTAGCAATTGTGTGGGTGACTCTATTTTTCATTTTTAAGGTCTCAAGTTCCCTAGTCGTAGCTTCTAATTGGGCTTTAAGGTTATCTTCCTCCCTAAGGTGGTAAATCCCAGATGATCTTGACCTATTAGTACTATCAGTGGCACTAGATCCTGTCCAAGTGTGAGCTTTTTCAGCTAACTCATTTAAATAATCTATGGCTTCTTCTAGGTCTTTATGCAAATACTCCCCATTACACATCATCTCTATGAATTGACGCTCCCTACTAGTTAAACCCTCATAGAAATAACTAACCAACCTCCAAGTTTTATACCTATGATGTGGACACAAGTTTTGTTATTCTTTAAACCTCTCCCATGCTTGGTGTAAGGTTTCACTATCCTTTTGAGAAGATGTGGAGATCTGTCTTTTAAAATTATTTGTTTTGTGATGTGGAAAGTACTTGTTAAAGAAAGCTTGAGTCATCTCTGCCCATGTACCTATAGATCTCGGTCTCAAAGAATATAACCAAATTTTAGCTTTGTCTTTCAAGGAGAAGGGAAAGAATTTCAACCTAACTGTGTCTATAGTGTCAGCTCAACTATGAAAAGTAGCTACTACCTCCTCAAATTCCCTAACATGCACATATAGATTTTCATTCTCTAAACCATGGAAACTAGGCAAAAGCTGAATCATTCCAGGTTTGAACTCAAAGTGTGGTGCATTAGGAGGAAACATTATGCATGATGGTGAAGCTGTTCCAGTGGGGTGCAAGTAGTCTTTCAAAGTCCTAATAGGTTGATCCCCGTCTTGACTCATGGTTTCATAATTAAAGGATGAATTAGACTTGACTTCTTCTTTTTGAAAGGGTAGCAGATCTAATTTAATAAATCTCCCTTTTTCGTCTCTCGATCTATTCATACACTCTAATCTACTTTTTTTTTTTTTTTTGAATGAAGAAAATAAAATAAAAGCAAAAAAGTAAATAAACTAAAGAAAAGAAAAGCAAATAAAATAAATAAAAGAAAAGTGAAGAATGTTCAAACTCTAATTGTCAATCTGGCTTCCCCGACAACGGCGCCAAATTTTGATGTCTCGCCCAAAATTAACACCTTTCGGTCAAGTAGTTGTTGTAGCGTAGCTTTAAGTGTCGAATCTACAATGAAGCTATATTAAATCAACAAAAAAAGTTGTCACAATGATAAATTAAATTAAAAAATGAATTCTAAAATTAAAAATAAAAATATTTAAATAAAAGATGATAATTATAAAAGATTGAAAACAATATTATGATGAACAAGATTTCAGGGTTCACTTAATTGATTTGTTTAATTGTTATAAATTTTGATTCCTATTTATTACTCAATTGCATGTTTCACATCCCAAATAAACAATCGGAAGATTTAATTGTGAAGATCAATAATAATAACTAATGTATTTATTTTGAGAGAAATTAATTTCAATGAAGAACAAACTGATTTATTGTAACGAGCTATTCGAGAGCGACAATATATCTAATCAACAATACTACAGTAAAGGATCAGCCTGCAAAACAAATCTATCAATCAATTATATTCTGACAAATCACACATAAAAAGAGCATGATTAATCTTATATGAAATTTGATAAATATAATTTTCAGGGTTTTTAATCTAAAAAATAATTAATAATCTCCCAAAAATAAAATTAAACAATAAAATTTATGAAGGAATCAAAATAAAATAACAAGTCAAACTTCTCAATTAAGATCCTCCCTAGTGTTGTTGAAAGTTTAATTGTCCTTTAACATAATTCTCTAGCCTTGAAGAAAAAAATAGAAGCCTAGGAACTGTTTTTCTAAATGCTAAACCTAGTTTTCAAGGCTCCTATTTGTATTAAGAATAAAATATGAGTGTTTGGTAACTAGGATAGCAGTCATGGGGAATTTTTTTTTTTTTTTTTTTTCCC